TAGTATGCTGAATTTCAGGGAGGCAGCTGTATATGCACAGAATTTCATTTCTCTGGCTAGCTGGCAGGTAGATGGTACAACGCCTCACATGGTTAGCTATGCAGCTAGTCAAAAGCAACACCTAAACAACGGGCATGGGGAGGGGGTGATGTGGCGCCAGATGCGGGGGCCTTGGGTGGGCGCTGCAATAGACAGGTACCCTGACTCCCACTCGGAGCTGGAAAACAACACATTGGGAGTTGGGGCCAACGCCTAAGGCTGGCACGCCGGCAGCGCACTGGCAACTAGCCACCCAACTCCAAAATTTTTTGCTGGGCATTTCCCACAAAGCAGGGAGTAGCGCATTCTTATCAGAATATATTCAGGAGGAGAGAAGGGAAAAGATCCCCTTTTCTTCATGGAATTGGGTTATAGTAAACCCAAATTTTGTGTTCCCAGCCACCTGGGGTTATGTTTCTGCTCCCCCTTTAGAGTATTGTGCAGGAAACGATTTCTCAAACTCTCCCTGCCAAGACACAGTATTGGAGTTAGGTTTCTATTACCCGACTACATTGTTGTTTTTGTGACCTTGGCAACAGCAAATTTATTACTGTTGCCGTTTGGCAGTTGCTTATATGTTTTAATGCTTGCGCAGAAGCAGTGATTCTCATCAGCAGAAATGGTCATTCTCCCCTCTTTAGTTTCTCACATCTTTGCATTGTCCTTCTTCCTTGCTGGTTAACTTTAGTTAAAAGTCCAAACAACTGTCAATTTTATTATTATGCTCGTCAATGTCTGGAGATCACTCCAAACTTTACCCAGAAGTATTTCTTGAATAAAGAAGTCTTCTCTTCAGAGAACATCAGTATATTTGACTGTCTATGTATGTACTATTCTCCCTATGAGGTATCTTTCAACACTGAACTTGCAAATGCAAAAAAGGGTCTTACATCATTTCTAGCTTGGGACAGGAACTCCAGAGCAAAAAAATTATTGCAAATGAAGGGGAATGTAATGGGTTAGCAACATAAGGTTACAGAAGACAGAAATGGTTCATGTGATTTAAGCAATTCATTATCACTAGTGATAAAAATTGCTTGAAAGGCAGACACGCGGCTTCTTGGGTTGCTGTTTAGCATGAAGAATGTAAATCAAAACAAGGATATAGTTTCTTGCAAGGGAAACTCAGCAACTTTCCAATGGGACAATACCCTTACTTCTACTTTAAGAAACAAAGGGAGAACAAAACAACGGTTATACCAACTTTGCAATTCTGCGTAAGCACAATGGTCCGTGCAACTGCCAAAAACTAGCAACAGCAATAAATTGGCTGTTGCTAGGGGCCTTAAACAAACGTCTGAACTGGGCCATAAAGCCCAACTCGAAAAATATTTACAAAAAGAAATCACCCCTCACAAAAATGATGAATGCAACCAAAACTAACCCTAACGGGTTGGAACAAAAACTCAGAAAGGAAACAATTCCTCTCTAGATTTTCATTGGAAAAAGGGGGCACAAAAACTTCCCGCTTTGTGGGAAACTGCGTTTGGTTGGCCAGATGTCGCCAATCAAAATGGGAAAAAACCTCCCGTTTCTGAGAGAAAACTCAAGATTTATTTTCCTCCTCGTTAGACTCATGCAGCAACCGCCTTTGCTGCAAAGGATCAGCACACCTCACCAATTACTTTCTGCAGGTACAAAAGGGACTGGAAGTCCCAACAGAATCATCAGACTTCTTTGAAGCAGAGACCACGTCTGACGAACGTCTTGCTGTCAGAAAAACCTTTCACAAAATCCCTTATGGAAAAATATATCTATGAAATTAGACTTTGCGGAATTTTGCCATTTCTTTGGAGTTTTTGTCAATTCGCAAACTCAGGTTGTGCAAATATATCGTGCGCATATTTCGGGATCTTTTTAGATCCCTAAGGTTGGTCATGCACCAACCAACTGCCGAGTTTCATTCCTCAATCAAAGAACCTCTCACTCATAAAAATAATGGTTTGGGTGCAACATTCGATTTCGCACATCTACAACATTGGTAACAGCAATAAATGTCAAAATTCAGGGTATTGAATGAAAAGTTGCTTGGAAGGTATGACAGCATTGTATTTTTGCTCAAATTTACTCTTCAAAGTTTAGTGAAATGGAATTATTCACCTACCCTTTAATCAGGAGTCTGCACCAGGTCAGACGTATTAGTTGACACTTGCCACCTGATGAAGAATTGTCTGCAACCATTGCTCTGCCAGAAAACTGCGGATAAATCAGTCTTGAAACCCCATGTCTTCGAGATTCCATTTCTACATTTCAATAGAAAATGTTGAGGCAGCGTAAATCGGCGTGAAAAAATCCCAGAAAAGATGAATGGGAGGAACGTAAATTTCCATCAGCCACTTGTTTGAATGAACCATCGCTGCGATTTTCCTTTTTTATTTTTCTATTCACAGGTTCTCTTCGCCATCACAACTGTCCATCAAATTCCGAGAACATCAGCTGTTTGCATCGGATGCCGGGGAGTTCCAAGTCGTGGCCAAGACGTTTTTGTATTATGGCACTTTATACAATCCTTCGAGGTTGGACTATGATATCGCCTTGGTTGAATTGTCTGCACCTGTTACCATCACTGGACCTTCGTACATCCGCCCCGCTTGCTTGATTGCTCAAGGGTTCGACGTGAACGCATTCATTGGAGTTCCTATCGGCTGGGGAGTTCACAGTGAGAATAATGCATTTTAGAGAAGTACAGTAGTTTCGAGGAAAAGGCTGTACATGAAAGTGAAATTCATTGAATCACTGATTTATGGATGCCGCTGCTTCGTTTTCTATCGGTAAATCGAAATTAATTGGCGTATGGGTTCATTGAAGCCGTGTTGGAATAGGGTTAATCATGTCTTAACCCATACAATCCACGTACACGAACTATAATGCAGTAATTTTTTTCCTCGTAAAGTGAATGGGGTAGGATCTCAGTCCCCTGTGCTGCGAGAAACCAGGGTTTCCATCCTCAACAGAGCAAAGTGCCTTTTGTCTGGAGGAGATCCTTCAAGCACGCACATTTGCGGATACACGAAAGCAAATGGAATTTGCTACGTGAGCTACTTTTAGTCGTACTACATCATGAAATGTTCCCGAACTTGTTCAGTTGATAAATTATCAGGGAGATTCCGGAGGACCTCTAACGGTGTATTCGAGTGGAAAGCATTACCTTGCTGGGGTCACTTCAGGAACCCGCGGCAACAGGGAACAAAACATCTGCAGCACCGATTGGCCACAGTACTACACTCAGGCCACACGTACGTAAATTATTTTGCTGTACCCTGAATTACGGTAGCGTAAAATCCCAAAATATGATGCTTTATTGCTTGGGAAGAATGAACACGCCGAACTCCGATCGTAACGATGGAACTTGATACAGTATATCTTGGTAATCATGCTAAATGTAGGCATCTAATGCTGCTGCGTTGATGAATTAAGCAAATTGGAAATTCCTGGGATGAATGCTCCTGGATGAATTTGTTCACAGTTTTTACTGACGTTATCGTTCAATATGCATGGGACAACGCCAACTATTGCAGCTACTGATTGACGACCCATTTTCGATCCGGAAGCATAATTTTGATGGATTTCAAGGAATGTTCTGTGGAACGTCTCTGATGGTCTGAAATAAAACTCATCTGCTAAAATTGATCTGTTGAATTTTACGATCCAAAGCATTCAATCTTGCAATCCCAAAATCTTTTGATTAAAAACCCTCATGATGCATGTTGTGGTTTCAATGCACAACTTGAAATAATATATACAGTGAGACCTGGAGATGTGGACATAATTAGTGCATCAAGAGTGTCCCAAGTCTAAATGTCCCTAAGTTGAGTCTCATTTTCCCATACAACGCCAATACATAATTACATATTTACATTACATAATTTTTATTTGAGGCTTTATGGAAGAAATATTCTGTGGAATTCCCTGAAAAAAATTGTTGGCCACTTGAATTTGAATTAGTGAATACATTTTTAGCTCAATACAAACATTTGGAGCATTGAATAATGTATCTCTGTATTGTTAATTGAAATGTTTGCATATACAAAAATTACATTCAGCTGAAAAAAATGTAGAAGTCCCTCTATGCTGGAGGTAACTTTTTTGAATTAGCTAAATGGATGGTAAATTGGTGAGATAAATTCCCAAGAACTTTTCTTACATCAATTTCAGGGTTGTAAATATCTGTTTCTTTTAAATTGACCTGAATGTATTTGCAATTTCATCACAAAATGTCCCTATGTTGAGTCAGTGTCCTCATGTTGGGCCTTTTTTATTATTATTTCTGGGAAAATAAGTGTCCCTATGTCAAATTGTTCACAGGTCAAGGCATCTGCATGTGGGGGTCTAATGCTGTATAATAAAAAAATTTTGGAATATGAGGTAAATCTCAACATTTCAGGCAAGAAAATCAAAAGAACACATTTCAGTGCCAATAAAGAATATTTTGGACTGAAAAATATGCACAACAATCACATGTGAACACATGATAATGTGAACACATTATCATTGTTTTTATCCAAACATTGGGGGTGAGTGCTATCCAAGAGTATACTTAGATGATCTGGATGGGTGCCTGAGCAAGAATGTTGAGGAATACAAAGCCTCTGCAAATGAAAGATCCATCTGCTGCCTGGTCAAAATAAGGAGTCTGCTAGGAAATCCATCTGTTCACATTGAGGAAGTGATGGGAAAATTGGAAGATCCTACAAGTGCAAAAGCAAATAGTGTACACCTCACCCTGCAGGACTTCCAAGATAGCATTGGCCTGAAAGAAACTCTGCTGGCAAAACCACAATCTAACCCCCCTGGGATTCAGTTCTGGAGGAGACTGTGGCTAATTACACACAAGGTTGGGTGGATCAATCTGCTGCACCAATGAGACCACTTGTGTCTGGTGAATCTAAAAGAACTAAAGTTGAAGGCTATGAGGAGAAGAGAGACTTCATTCTTGATATCAGCCAGACTTTCAATTGCCTGGTAGCCGCTGGATACAAAATTCTAGAGGATGGTGACCTCCTGGACAGTGTGCTGGGAAAAGTTCCTCTCAACTGTGCACAAATTTTTCTGGACTACTACTTGCCCAAGGAGCAACATCTCCTCAACTTGGCATTTTGGATAGAAAAGAAACTGCTTTCCAACAAATGCTTGGATCTTCTACCTGATAATAAGAGCATCCATCAGTGTGTAAAGCTTCTGTTAAGGCCTATGCAACAAGTGCGGAGATGAGAGAAAATTCAAAAAATGCTTGACCATGCTGCAAGACCTCTGGACATGAGCTGGCTGATTGCTCTGACTTCAAAATTATTGCAGTGAGTGCCCATCTAAACTTGGTGAGGCAAAAGAAGGGCTTTGACTACTGCACATTGTTGCAAAAATTAACAATAGAATGAAATTCAGCACACAAAACTTAAGACCCCAAATTCTTGTGTCCAGTCAGCCGCCAGTTGGTCAATTCATGGTTGCACACCCACCAGTTGTCAAGCCCCGGTCAGTCCAACTGCCAGCCAGGGCAGTTCTTGGCCTCGCCAATCCCCAGCCCACCAAACTGGTTTGGTCACCCAATTGTTGGGGCACCCAAACAATCAGCTGACAAGAATTATGCTGATTTTTTTTCAGAATTCAGTGAGCAGAATGGTATCCTACCACAGATTTTTTTTTTCAAAATTTCAGCAATGTTAGGTTAGGTTAGGTCAGTTTATGTTATGTTGGTTTAGGTTAGGTTAGGTTTGGATATGTTAGGTTAAGTTAGGTTGGGTTTGATGAGTTTTTTTCTTTTTGTGCAAATTTTTATAAGATGAAATTTTGTGAAAAAAAATAATCTGCGGTAGGATACCATTCTGCTCACCAAATTCTAGAAAGAATCAGCATGATTATTGTCACCAAACTGTTTGGGTGCCCCAACAATTGGGTGACTGGACCGCAGTTTGGTGGACTGGGGATTGGCAAGGCCAAGGACTGCCCTGGCTGGCAGTTAGACCGACCGGCGCTTGATGACTGGCGGGTGTGCAACCATGGTTTGAACAACTGGCAGATGACCCGGTACCCCAAATTCTTGATTTCACTTTATCTCTGTGTAAACCAAGGACAACCTTGGTTCACACACACATTCTCTAGAAGCCTCCAAGGCTGTTTTCTATTGCTAAAATCCTGGTCCTGTTATTTGTCCTTGGAGAACAGTTTTCCTGGTTTCTGAATGAATCAAAATTCTTCACTCTTCTAGTCTTTTCTGAGCTCTCATACAAGAAACTCCTGTGTGTCCATGAATATTGTGTGTATTGACTGTGTGTTTGAAACTTTGAATTACACCAACTTTAAAATAGGGTGATTTTCACCCCAGTTGTAGCCTGACCAAATTCTGGTGTTTTCATTTCTAAAAATAATCAAGTTTAAAACCTTTTCTTGTAAAATCTTCATTTGTTGAGGATTTATTCCCAACACACCTAACCTTTCTCCATGTTGAAAAGTATTCTGTACCAGTGAGCAAACAAAAAAATCCTGTGGATTCCTCCTGCCCCCACTGCCATCAGGAGCTGATTAATGGTGCTGGAAGGAGAAAGACTGCAGTGGAAACTTCAACCAAAGGCCAGCCAACACAGGAAACACCCCCTGCTGCACCTACTACATCTGATTGAACTGTCATTGCCTGTTCTGTCCTTTGGTTGACTGTAAATTCAAAGGAGCCTGCCAATGAGGGAGTGACACCTCATACTCCACATTTGATCTATGTCTGCATCAGACAAAAAGTAGTTGAAAGTTGTGAACCCTTCAATGTCACAGCCCTCATTGATCAAGGAGGCAACTAGACCTTTCTAGACAAGGGTCTAGCCAAAAGGATGAATCTGGAAATCTAATTCTCAAAAGAGGCATAGCACTGCTTGACATCAGCAAAGATGGCCATGATTGGGTCACACCTACTGCTGTGTGGACAAATTGTTATCCCAAAAATAAAATACTTCAGATTTCTATAAAATATTTAATATATATATATTTCGATATTCACATCAACATAAAATATAAAGTCAGGAAATTAAGGAAGTCTTGTTAAA